TGTGGATGCCGATGACGATGCCTGTGGTGGACGTCTGGTTGGTGGCCTCCTCCTTCCGGCAGTCCACAGGGTGGGCTCGAGGGCTGGGGGAGGGGCGGGGCGGGGCAGGGGCTGTGGCTTTCCCGGCCCGAGGCACCCCCAGGCACCCAGCTCTTGCAGGTTCCTTCTCCTTCAGCTGCTCCCACTCCCAAGTCTGCATACCAACTGCCCTTGTCCATGGGACCCCAGCCCAACCTTTTCTCTTCTTTTTACCAGTTATTAAGCACTAACTTTGTGCCAGATACTGGGAATAACACTTTACATGGACCCTTTCGTCTTCCACACCGTTCTATAAAGCAGATATTACGATCTCTATTTTATAAAGGAAAAACCGGGGCTCAGAGGGGTTAAGTAACTTGCCCAAGGTCACACAGCCAAACAGCAAATTCAGGTCTAAGCCTATGTTACCCAGGGCTGCATGTACTGTCCTACACCTCCTACCTTCCCTGGGTGCCTGCTCCCCTCCTCTCTGAGCTCCTGGCCTCCCTTCCAGAGTGCCAGTCTTTGGCCACACCCCATCCTCAACCCTCACCTGTCCTCTCAGATGCTCCTCTCAAAGACACGAAGCGGACTGTGGCATTGCCATCCCCGTGCTGGTTGTAGGCGAGCAGCTTCACCTCGTACACTGCAGTGGGGTCTGGGGGGAAGGCCAGGCTGCTGACGGACCACTCCAGCCCCCACCCAGCAGCTGTGCCCCAGGCGGGAACTGGAGGGGACCTCCGCGCACCACCTCCTGGCACCAGGCACCTCACCCCTGCCCACTCCCCAGGCCCCAGCCGCATCCGCCTCACCGAGCTGGCTGAGGTTGTAGGAGGAGACAGTTCCAGGCAGCAGGATGGGGCCATTGAAGGAGGCTTTGCTTGCTGGGCGGTAAAACAGCTTGAAGCCACCCTCGTGCTGGGCTAGCCGGGGCCAGGGCTCCCACAGCAGCTGCAGGGTGGAGCTGCCCACAACCCGCACTGACAGCGGGGGTGGGGCAGGGGCTGCGGGCGGGCCGAGAGGAAAGTTGAGACATGAGGACTTGGTGGTCAAAGCTCTACCCTTCCACCTGCCACCCATGACCCAGACCCTGCCAGGACCTGACCACTTTCTGGCCTCTGACCTCGGGCCTCCACTTACTCAAATAGCACCTTTACGTGAATTAGAAAAGGACACCCCTTCCTCCAAGTAGACCCAGCCCCGGCTCAGCCTCAGTCAAGGCACCCTGTGCAGTGCACAACCTGAGCAACCGTGCACAGCAGTTCTGCCCTAATGTCCTGAGCATCTGTGGTTTTGTGCTCTGTGCCCAGACCTCACCTTCGCCTAGAGTGCTCGCCAGCGTTGAGACAGAGGCGGAGCTGGCACCCCGGGGCGTGTAGGCCTTGATGTAGAAGCTGTAGGCAGTGGAGGGCTCCAGGTCGCTCACCAGGTGCTGAAAGGTGCTCTTGCTGACTGCTTCCTGGTACTCCAGCTCTGGGGGATCTGAGGAGGCCAAGGGTAGGGCAGAGGAGTGAAGGGGCATGCGGGAATCCGACCCGTGTCGGTGAGATGAGGGCAGCCAGGGTGCAGCCGGAAGAAAGAAGGGAAGGTGTCATGTGTCAGGACATGCAGGATTGAGGGGGGTGGGAAACAGCGAGTAAGATGAAGGGGTTGCAGGGGCAGCCTGGCCCTCCCGGCCCCCCACCCACCGGCAGCCTTCCTGATGTGCAGGACATAGCCGATGATCTCCTTGGTATTGACCAGGGGCTCGTTCCAGGACACGCGGACCTCCGTGGACGACACAGAGACGGCCCGCACGTTGAGGGGGGGCCCGGGCAGCCCCTCAGCCCACAGCACTGTCAGCCTGGCACTGGCCTGAGAGGAGCCGGCGCTGTTCTCGGCCACGCACTGGTAGATGGCCTCATCTTCAGGGCCGATTCCTGAGATGGTCAGGGTGCTGCAGGGGAGGGAGAGCCTCAGATCCCCTCCTCCTTCCTGAGTAGCCTTGGAGGGTGGCTTAATCTCCCCACTTGAGAGATGGAGAAACTGAGTCCTTCCAGAAGACAACCGATTCGTCCAGGTGTCTCAGCAAGTCAGGGGCAGACCTGGCACTCACTCAGACCCAAGTCCGCAGATCCCCAGTTTAGCGCTCTTCGCTGGCAGGAGGCCCACAGCCTGCCCAGGCCACTCATGCCGGCACCCGCCGCCCCCTCCCCAGGCCTCGCCCCCGCACACGCCACACACACATGCCTGTTGTTATTTTTGAGCCTGACGTGACCTCCGGGCCCCAGCACCTGCCCATTCTTCAGCCACGTGACGTGAGGGGGCGGCTCACCCTGGGCTTGGCAGGTGAACATGGCTGTGGTCCCAGCTGGCCTGGAGATGGACTGGGGGTGCTGGACAAACTCTGCTGGGGCTGGGGGCGGGGGGCACAGAGAAGCATGAGGGTCACGAGGAGTCAGGTGGAGAGGGAGGGGCAGCGGTGAGTGAAGGAAGGAGGAAAGGGAAAAGGGTGGGGCCCGAGGTCTGCGGGGGGGGGGGACAGGGTGGGCTAGGGACACACACAACCACCCCTTGGAGAATCCTCCAGGTAGGGCCCACCCTCCACGGTGGCCCAGCCTCCAGGAGATGGTGGCAGGCCCAAGAGAGGACTCCATTTTAATGACTCTTTAGAAGACTGACATTTGTATTGGAAAGCAATCAGGCTGAGCTCCCTGTTCAGGAAATTGTTAAATAAATAAATGTGCTAATAGGTTTGGCTGCACCTCGAAGGCGGGAATGACGGGGAGATGCGTGAGCCCTCAGTAGCGGCCCCCCTCACCCTGACATTCAATTCCACTCTCCTCCAATCCCAAGCTGCGAGCTTCCATTAACACCCGAGAAATGAAATGCTCCATCACTTTCATTTGGACAGATTAATGGCACATGGAATGCTAAACAAACAGGCATTTAAGTTCCTCTTTCCCCTCTCTCCCACCTCTTCCCCGGCTCTGGGAGGGACCAACCACAGGAAACCCCTGAGAGTGGGAATCCAAGCTCAGTTCATGGGGACAGTTGAGCTCCAGGGCAGGAGGATGGACAGGATGACCCAGTCAGCTGCAGAGGCCACTCTCACACCCCACGGGAGTGGAGGTCAGCTGTGTGTGTGTGTGTGTCTGTGTGTGTGTGAGAGAGAGAGAGAGACGCAGGAGCTGGGGTGTGAGAGTGTGAAAATGACAAATACACTGAGAGCATGCAGGCAGGTGTGAGCTTGGAAGGGCTACATGTGTGAATGAGAACAGCACGTGGGGGAGGGACACATGTGAGTGACACAGGTCGGGGAGACCAGCTGAGATTTTATAAAGTAGAAATGACAGGGTTGGGGGTAGTGATGGCACCTGGAGGGGCCTGATGACTAAGAATGTCTTCCCTTCCCAACACACACATTCTTGGGGAAGTGGGGGAGCTGCTGCCCAGGAAAGGGAGGGAGTGAGTGTAAGGCACTGGGCTTGGGCCAGGGATGTCCAGGAGGCAAGGAACGGGGCAGGTGGAGGGGCAGCGTGGGGACGGGGCGTCCATACCTTGCACCACCAGCCGGCCCTGTGCTGTTCTCCTCACCCGGGTGCCGGGCCTGTTGGCCGCACAGACGTAGACGCCTGAGTGCTGGACAGTCACGTCTGAGATAATGAGGTTCCCTGTGCCGAGCACCTGGATGCCCTCCACCCCGATGGGACGGCCATCTGAAGAGGAAGGGGAGGGTCAGGGAGTGGGGTGTGGAAGAGGGGGCAGGGCAGGAACGTCCAGACTGGGAATCGGCCATTCCACCCGTCTTCCAGGGAGCCCCAGGCTTTGACTCTGACTTCTGAGCATCACGGCCTTGTAGGGGTGGGAGGTGCAGCGTGGAAAACTCACCCAGAAGCAGAGACCTGGGTCCTAATCCTAGCATCGTCACTCCCTCGCTGGTGACCTTCAAATCCCTTCCCCTCAGCTTCTCACTCAGGAAAGTAAGGGGTCTGGATTCCATGGACATTTCTCAGCCTGGTTTGTCTCTCTTGAAAAAAGTTCCATGAAATATACCCATTCCCCTCCTGGACTGTCACAATAAATGCCCATGAATACAAAGGCTCTGAGTAGCCTTGCAGCAAAGGGACCTGGTTAACTCTGTTTCCCAAACTTGTTACACCACCAAAGCCATTCTTTCCCCCTGCAGATCACGCTTTGGGAAATGTCGCACCAGATGGTCCTTGCAGGGCTTATGGGCTCCTCCTATCGGTGAGGCCACTTTTTCCAGCCTCTCCCAGGCCCCGGGCCCTCCTCCCCCATCCAGGATCAGATTAGCACAGTCAGAATGCGAGGAGACAGCTCCCCATTCAGCCCCTGAAGTGGTGAAATCTACTCCATTATCCTGCCTGCTGCCTGCTCCTTCCTGATCACTCCGCTGCTACAATGTGGCGCAGTTTCCTTGTGAATGCGACCCCACCCCATCCCCTCCAGACTTTCCTTCCCCCAGTGACCTTTCCACTCAGACAATGTGGGCCCATCTGCACCCTTTCATTTCTCTCCTTCAGCTGCCTAGGGATTTAGGCTGGGGATTTAGGGGGCCGGGCTCAAGACTGGGGGCGCCCAGAGAGAGGGTGTGACAACTGCCTGAGATTTTGAGGGGTTTGGGATTGCAGGGTGGGGAATCCTGATCAGGGGGTGGAGGGCAGAGATGAGCAGGACAGGAAAGCGACTTCGGGTGCTGAGAGCTGCAGAGGGGTTCTGGTGATGCTGAGGGTGAGGGGAGCACGGAGAAGGGGAGCGGGGCGCAGGATTGCTAGGGCTGCTCTTGGTAACCCGGGGAGCTAAGCCATCTGCACAGGGGGAGGGAGAATGCAGTGGGCAGGCGGACCTCCCTGGTCCTGCCAAGGAGAGGGAAACACCCCCACCTCCCCAGGCCTTGGAGAGCATGGACCCCCACGGAGAACAAACAGGATTCCAAGCTCCCCCCAGAGCTGGGCGAAGAGACTGGCCCTCCCAGGGAGCAGGAGAGGCTGGGGCTGCAGGATGAGGCTCACCCAGGCGGCTCCAGGACACAATGGGGCGCGGGTTGCCCGTGGCGACACACTCGAGCACAGCGGTCTGGTGCACGGTCAGGGTGAGGTTCTCAGGCCCCACGAGGATCGTAGGCTCCTTGTAGGCCCCGGAGCCCGAGCCTGGGAGTGGGGTGCCACATTTCTTCACTTTAGCTGGGACCCTTCCTCACCGCCTCCCTCCCCCAACACACAGCCCAGGACACAGCAGGTGGGAGATGAGCTGCAGCCCAGGAACCCAGTACTGTGGGCCGAGAGGAGATGCCAGCACCCAGAAGCAGACGATGGGCTTCCTCCTCGGGCAGAGCTGAGCCAGGGAGGGGCCTCGGATGCCTTCTGAACCCTCACCCCAAGGAGCACGGAGCTTTGCGTTTAGAAGGCACTTTGTACACGTCTGACTGACCAGGCTCCAGGACTCAGTTGAAGGGGGATCTATTTGAGGGTGGGGAGACATCAGGAGGCTGGCTGGGGGAAGAACGAGGGAGGGGCAAGGACCCTCACCCGACACAGTGAGCCTGGCCCCGTGGCTGACCCGGACGCTGGCGATGTTTGAGGCCACACAGTGGAAGACGCCGCTGTCCTCAGCTCGAAGTCCTGTGATCTGCAGGACTCCCTTGGGCAGCAGTGTGTACCTGTGCGGGGTGGCGGGGCATGGTCAACCACGGCCACAGGGACACTCAGCATCGCGGACACAGCCCAGGACCCCGGCACGGTCCCAGTGTCACTTTCATCATCACAGACATACTCGGGGACTCCCGCAGGTGGGTGTACCTGCAATTCCAGCCTTGACAACAGTCAGACACACGTCTTCGCATGGATTTGAGTATTGAATCTGGGCCCAAAGCCACAGAGATTACTCAGACTCAACAAAATTGCAGAAGCACCAGCCTGGAGGCTGCAGGCAGGCCTCCTTCAAGGCCGGGACCCTGGGCCTGCCTCTTGGTCTTCCCTCCATCTTCCCGCCTGAGGCTCACCTCTCATTGTCCGTGTTGATGGGGACTCTGTTCTTCTCCCAGGTGATCAGGGGTTTGGGAAGCCCGTGGATTTGGCACTGGAAGCGGGCCACTCCGCCCTCTTCACCCACAGTGGCCTGGGGATGCACGTGGAAGTCGGACATGGCTGGAGAAAGAAAGGGAAATGTTGGGGAAGGTGTAGCTCAAGTGGTAGAACGCATGCTTTAGCATGCATGAGGTCCCAGGTTCAATCCCCAGCACCTCCTCTAAAAATAAATAAACCTAATGACACCCCCCCCCGCGCTCCAAGCAGATAAATAAATAAATGTTTATTTTTAAAAAAAAGAAAGAAAGAGAAATGTGCTGGGAAAGGCCCACTGCTGAGGTGCAGAGGGGACGGGAGAGGGCGTGAGACGGGAGAGGGCATGGGGATCCCCAGGCCCGTGTACCAGAGTCCTGGAACTTACCTGCAGGGGCAGAGGCAGGGCAGCCACTTGGCAGGGACACATCAGCTCTTACCCTGTCCTACCTGTGGGAACCCTCTCCCCTGGAGGGATGGTATAGGCTGGGCAGGGACACCTCAGAAAGGTCTGGACGAATTCTCTGATGAAAAGCCTCTAACAGGGAAATCTTGGGCCGCTGACCCACAAAGGCCTTGCCCCCAAAGCCTGCTCCCCACTATTTCAGCTGCTTTCAGATTTATTTGTATAAACTCCCCCTAAGGTAGGAAAGTGCTAAGTATTGTGCTGCACATTTTACAGAATAAGAAACAGGCCCAGAGAGGGGAAGAGATTAGCCCAGTGTCACCCAGCAAGGACACTGGTTGTTTGGCCCTAGTTACCAGCTCCCAGGAGCTTTTCTGGCGCTTCATCATCACCCCTAGCCCCCATTTCTCCCACAGTTTCTCAATTCACCCCAAGAGGGTGGTGTATCCATCCAAGGTGACAAGCCTCTCAGAAGACGGTCAGACCTACCAATCTACATTTCAATGTGTCATAAATATTCAGGCCCGCCCCCTCCCACCTTCTGGGAATCTGAAACTAACTGCTTGAACTCTGACCATAGGAGGGGCTGTGGTGCTCCCCCCACCCCATTTTAGGCTGGTTAAGTGTTCCTGCCCATCCTCGTTCCCACCCACCCCACCCCCCATCTTGTAAAGCTTAGGGAAGGGGCCCCTCCCATGCGGGCTCCCAGCTTCAGCACCAGGGCTGTGATTTCATTAAAATCCACTTTGCTTCAAGTGCGGGAAGGCGGCTCACCATCTGTCCAGGCAGGCAGCCCCTCCCCTCCAACACTCCATCAACTGGGACAGTTGTCCCCTCCCAGAAGGAGCCCTCCCCCCACAGCAGCAGGGACACTGGAGCTGGTCCTGGCTCCTGCTCCTGGCTCCCTGGTGTGGGTGGGCACACCCTGTCTCAGTCCTCCTCAATTCCCGGCCTGTTCAGGACTCCAGGGCAGCTCAGGAAGGCCAAGCCTTTGTGCCCTCCTTCCCGGAGTCTCTGGGGGCCGACTCTTTTATGGCACGTTCTCCATCTCATTTGCATGTGGTTCATTAAATATAAACATGCATAAAAATCCCCAGCCCTGCCTCCTCCTCTCTCGGGGCCTCCTGGGAGTGCGCGGATGGGTGTGAGCTCCTCCTCGCGTGTGTGCAGGGCTGTGCTTGCCAGGAAGCTCTCTCTGTGTATGTGGTGTGAGTGTCCAAGGCTGGGTGAATGGGGGTTTGTATCCCTCAGCTCCTGTGGCTGGTGTGTGATTCTGGTCCTGTGTAGATAATCAATCACACATGTCCCCATGTAGGTATAGCCCTTACAAAGGGTACCTTGGGGCCCTAGGGGCGGGAGGCAGGGGCAAGTGCCCCAGCTGGTGTCCCCATCAGGCTGGGTGGGACAATCCCCAGGGAGCAATGTGAGGTCAGCCTGCCCTGTCTCAGGCCGAAGGCTGTGTTGGGCCAAGGGCCTGCAGGTCAGCCCTGGGGTTTGGAGGAGGGGGCTGATGGCTGCTGGGGCCCCTCTACTGCTTCCAGGCCTCAGTCTCCAGGAGGCAGGGCTGGAGGCAGGCCTAGGGAGTGGAGAGGGCACCCAGGTCCCTGGGTCAGCTGTCTGTGCGCCGCACCCCCCTCAACCCCAGTTGGCTCCATTCTGGAGCTAGGGAGCTGCCTGCCCCCTCCTCACTCCAGCTGGAGAGGGGCCTGCAGCCCCCCAGGGACCCGGGGCGGGGACTAATGGCTCTGCTGACTACAGACGCCTCCTCATTAAGGAACCGAATCCTTTGTGTTTCCAACCCCCTTCCTGGGCTCCCTGGAGGTGCCTAGAGCTAGGAGCTGGCCTGAGAAGATACAGGGGGATAGAGCTGCTTCTCATCAGGGCACAGAGGATGGAGAAAGTCTGCCTCTACCTTCCTTCTCCCCCCCAAAACTGCACAATGACAAAGCATGGGTTGAATGTGATGCTGGAGAGGAAGGGCTGGTAGGTAAGGAGACAGTCTGAACATCTCACATTGTGTACGACAGAGTCTAAAGCATCCCCTGGGGCCCCTGGGATGCAGCTGGGGACCCTCCCTGCCCACGGCGCCACATCTCCCTTCCATCAGAGCAGCACCTTGCCGAACTTCTCTATCTGCTTTACTTAACCGCAGTTCTGCCAAACATTTCATTTGAAGGGTAGCTTTGCTTTTAAATGGGCTTGAAAACCACTCATTCCAAAGCCCATACATTCATTCTATGAAAGGGAAACCGAGGCCCAGGCCCGGTTGGTGGTTCTCCCAGCCCCAAATCTGAAAGTTCACACCCCAAGCCCTCTGCTGTGTTGCAAGTGGCTGGGAGGATAATGAGCTCCAGAGGCACTTCCTCAGTCCCATCCCCTTGGAGCCCAGCTGAGGGTACAGGTGTGGTCCAGGGGAGGAGGTGCAGGAGGAGGGTGTGGTCCTTTATCTGAGGCTCCTTCTTCCCTCCCCTTCATCCTGCCCCTACCCAGCCCTTCAGTCGGCTCTGAATATCCCTTAGGTGTCCTAAGAGATTGCCGCGAGACCCTGAGCAGGCAGTGTCAGAGTGTAATAGGGAAAAGCAAATCTGACACCATACTGGATCTGTTGCTTTTCCTTTAAGCTTTGTGCTCTATTGCTTTTGCTACAAGTTAATCGACAAAGTGATGTTGCCTATAGCTTAAAGTACACATAATGGCCCATCTCCGGGAACCCAGTCTCCCAGGCCTGAGCTTTAAGCTAAAACATCTTTGTTTAGCTCACAGGAAACATTCTGACCAGGCTCACCTGTAAATGACTGCAGGAAGGAATTAACACATCCCCTCCGGAGTCTGGCCAGACCCAGGAAATATTTGCAACAACTCATCACTTTTTTAACTCTACCTCCATACTTCTCCCTCTTTGTTCTATAAGAGAAACTACCATCCCAACTAGGGTAAGACGGTTCTTTGGGACTCTAGTCCATCATCTTCTTGGTCTTCCGAATAAAGTCACTATTCCTTGCCCCAACAACTTGTCTCTCAGTTTATTGGCCTGTTGTGTGGTGAGCAGTATGAGCTTGGACTCTGTAACAAGACTGCCAGTCCTTTCATTCACAAATGAAGGGGTGAGCAGGTACTCCTCAGGGCCTGCAGCTTTGACTCCTGCTGCCTTCATAAACAGGCCTGTGCCCACACTCAGCTTAGCTGGGGTCTCTTGGAGTCTCGCATTCACTCCGAGTTCACAGGCAACAGCATTTTGTCTTTAGGAAGTCGGGGAGAAAGTTTCTCGGGACCACTTAGATCTCTGCTCTCTCAGCATGGGACAGGTTTGGCTTGTACTAGCAGGCCACAGAGCTGAGGAACTCTCCCTCATTGTGTCATTCTGGGGTGGGGATGGGGGTCCTTGGGCAACCATGGCCATGTGGGGCCAAGGGCTCGATCTCTGAAAACCCTGACCCCTGAACAAGTCATCCTGGAGGCCACTGTGTGGTGGGACCCAGGTTACTATTGTGCTGGAGACACTGTCTGTGGCTGGTGTGGGTGGCAGCGTGGCTCATGGCTGGTGAACACGAAGGGGGTGCTATGGTGCATGGCTGCTAATGCTTTTTTCTCCCACTGACACCTGTTGGTCACGTAGGGGCCATTTTGGGGCTCCTCACTTTAAACTGGGATATGGGAGTGGGTAGTGTTGGGAGCCCCTTCCAGTATAAGGAGCAGAGAAAGTGACAGGAAGGACAAAGACCTGCTTGGGGGCCATTGTGGAGAAAGGAAGAAGAAATCACCTTTGTCCCTAAATAATCTGAGAAGGAATCTCCCTGCCACTCTTTGTCCCCGCCACGGGTACAGCCAGGCCATGAGGAGGGAGGGTCAGAGCAAGATCCCGGCAACCCGCTGGGCTGCAAGGGAGCAGAACCAGGCAGGAAATGGCTCCTGGACACTCCTATAAATCACCCGAGGGGAGGGGGTCTCCTGAGAGCCAGATCCACAGCAGCTCAGGGAGGGGAGGGGGACTTTCCTCCTGGTCCAGGACCTCTGGCGAGGTCAGGCCTGGATCTGATTAGGCAGGCTCCAGGGGGACGCTGAGGGCAGGAAGGGTCAAGGCAGAGTGCTGGGAAGGAAGCCGGCAGCATCCCCCAAGCCCAGCCTCCAACCCTTTGGTTATGGCCAGACCCCTCTCTGGTGTGTGATGACAAAAAGGTGAGTGGGCATGTTGGGATGGAGAGTCAGAACAAAGCCTTTGCAGAAACCGGTGGCACCGGGGGTCTGAGACACTGACTGCCCCCACTCATACAGCCATTCAAGAGGAACAACCACAATCTACTCTTCCAGAGGCGGCCAAGTCCTGTCCCCCTCCTTGTATCCGTCCCTGCCAAGAACCAGGGACACCCCGAATGCTTGCTCTTCCTTGAGCTGCTCAGATGATTGCAACATTTTCCCTTGTACTAGAGACATGCCTGAATCCCATGTGCTTCCACCCACTGTCTCCAGCTTCCCCCTTGAGAGTCTCATTGTCTAATATTGTAGCCAGCTATTAAGCACTTGAAATGTGACCAGTTCAAATTGAGACGGGCTGTAAATGCAAAATAAATACTGGATTTCAAAGATTCAGTGTAAAACGAAAAGACACCAAGCAAATCAAAACCATAATGAGATGCTACCTCACACCCATGGGGAAGGCTACTATCAAAGCAAGAACAGAAAA